CATTATTTTTTATTGTTGTATTGTTATTTTTTTCCACATATTTTTGACTCACTGTTGGTTGGATCCCAAGATGCAGAGCTGGCAGATATGGAGGGCCAACTGACTGTATTTAATTATTCACTCTTCCTTCTTATAAAGAGGTTTAAAGGAAGAGAAAGTATAAGTAAAAAGTAGCAGAGGTGTAGATTGCGAGGGTCAGATGAGGTAACCTGAAGCCCCCACAGCTTTTTGCACTCCTCTAGATAAACTGTGAAGCTGTTGTAGGATATTTTCTCACCAAGGGAGCAAATACCAGTCCCCAGCTCCAAACAGAGCATAGTGAGAGCCATATTGACCTGCTCTTTCGGTCCAGCTGTGCTGCTTATGGAATTTATAATCTCGAGTAATCATAAGTCGCAGTTTCTTATCTGTAAAATGGAATCATGGCACTGGGCATGCACCTATAGTCCCAACTACTCAAGAGGCTGAGCCAGGAGGATCAGTCCAGTATGAGAAAGAAAAGAAACTTATCTGAGGAATTCAAGCCTGAGTTATCAGGCTCAGAGAGGCATTGAAATGTGACAGCAGGTCATGTCCTACACCCTCCCCCTGGAGCTCACTTATCTGCCTGCAACATGGACTCTAGACTGAGTGTCACCACCAGTAGCCATAAATTAATCTTACAATGTCATACACTGGACAATGTAACTCATACCCTCTAGTTCAACAATGTATAACCAATCACTCATGAATTTTATTTCTGTAAATCAATGAGAATTCCTGACAAACAACTACCATGTTTCCCAGAAAATAAGACCTACCTGTAAAATAAGCCCTAGCAGGATTTCTAAACATTTGCACAATACAAGGTCTACCCCAAAAATAAGACCTAGTGATGGGCGTGGCTATGCAGCATATCTGTACAACCCATGCATTTCGTCTCGGATCGGTAAAAGCCCTTCTCGTCTGCTACATGAGAGCTTGACATGAGAGATTGGGGCCAATGGTCCTAAAGGAAATAGAGTCGCAAGAAATTCAGGATGGAATTTGGGGTTTGGAGAGTTACGATGATGTTCCAGAAGAAGACGACTTAACTACATTTGAATAAATGTGGATTGTTGTACCATACTTAAAAAAAAAAAAAACACATCAGCTGGGTGTGGTGGCTCATGCCTGTAATCCTTGCACTCTGGGAGGCCAAGGCAGGTGGATTGCTCAAGGTCAGGAGTTCGAAACCAGCCTGAGCAAGACCCTGTCTCTACTAAAAATAGAAAGAAATTAATTGACCAACTAAAAATATATGTACAAAAAATTAGCCGGGCATGGTGGCGCATGCCTGTAGTCCCAGCTACTTGGGAGGCTGAGGCAGCAGGATTGCTTGAGCCCAGGAGTTTGAGGTTGCTGTGAGCTAGGCTGACGCCACGGCACTCACTCTAGCCTGGGCAACAGAGACTCTGTCTCAAAAAAAAAAACAACAACAACAACAAAAAAAACTGTGGATACAAAATTTTCATTTTGTATGTCTGACAGCTGGAATAATTTTCCAGACTCTTTTGGAATTATACATTTCAAATCTTAATTTTTCTTTTTCTTTCTTTCTTTTTTTTTTTTTTTTTGAGACAGAGTCTTACTTTGTTGCCCAGGCTAGAGTGAGTGCCCTGGCATCAGCCTAGCTCACAGCAACCTCAATATCTTGGGCTCAAGCAATCCTGCTGCCTCAGCCTCCCGAGTAGCTGGGACTACAGGCATGTGCCACCTTGCCCGGCTAATTTTTTCTATATCTATTAGTTGGCCAATTAATTTCTTTCTATTTTTAGTAGAGACGGGGTCTAGCTCAGACTGGTTGTGAACTCCTAACCTTGAGCAATCTGCCCACCTGGGCCTCCCAGAGGGCTAGGATTACAGGTGCGAGCCACCACGCCCGGCCTTAAATTTATTTTTTCTACACTACCCACATAGGCCACAGGACATGCTTACAGTGTGGTTCAACTTCTGGCCCTGTACTTTCCCTATCAGGATATTAGGCAGTCTGGTAGCCATTCTTCTTTTTTTCTTTTGAGGCAGGATCACACACTGTTGCAATGGCCTGATCTCAGCTGACTGGAGCCTGAAACTCCTGGCCTCAAGCAATCCTCCTGCCTTAGCCTCCCAAAAAGCTGGCACTACACGTGTGCCACCACCATGCCCAGCGGAGTGACCATTCTTGTACCACAACAGCCAGCAATAACTTCACTAATATGCAGAAAAAATATCTAAACCTTGAAAATCTTTTCATGACATTTTAATGTCATGCCAGAGCATTAAGCAAGTCTCACAGACATTTGACTCTCTTGGGAATTGTAACTTTCTCTGAGTTACTAGATACAAGTGAGAGAGCTTAAAAATCATGAAAAGTTACAGGTTAACTTGTAGAATATTGATAACGTGGATAACTTTTTTGTTTCTTTTTTGAGACAGAGTGTCAATGTGTTGCCTGGGCTAGAGTACCCTGGCGTCAGCCTAGCTCACAGCAACCTCAACTCCTGGGCTCAAGCCATCCTCCTGCCTCAGCCTCCCAAGTAGCTGGGACTACAGCTCGGCTAATGTTTTCTATATATGTTTAGTCGGCCAATTAATTTATTTCTATTTTTAGTAGAGACAGGGTCTCGCTGTTGCTCAGGCTGGTTTCCAACTCATGACCTTGAGTTATCCACCTGCCTCGGCCTCCCAGAGTGCTAGGATTACAGGTGTGAGCCACCGGGCCTGGCTTTAGATAACTTTTGATTACCAGGATCTTTGGTGCCTGATTGATAACTTGCCAAATAAGTAATCTCATTTAATTTTCATTTTTCAGTGGGGAGCAGAGGGCTAACAAACTTAACAGAAAGGATAAGTAAACTTCCAAAGGTTAAGGAGTAATAGTAAGAGCCGGGCACGGTGGCTCATGCTTGTAATCCTAGCACTCGTGGAGGCCGAGGTGGGAGGATCGCTCAAGGTCTGGAGTTCCAAACCAGCATGAGCAAGAGCGAGACCCCATCGCTACTAAAAATAGAAACAAAATAATTGACCAACTAAGAATATATAGAAAAAATTAGCCGGGCAAGGTGGCACATGCCTGGAGTCCCAGCTACTCGAGAAGTTGAGGCAGGAGGATGGCCTTAGCCTAGGACTTTGAGGTTGCTGTGAGCTAGGCTGATGCCAGGACACTCTAGCGTGGGCAACAGAGTGAGACTCTGTCTCAAAAAATAAAAAGTCTAAGCTAAGGTATTGTCTGTGGGAAGGAACAGATGCCGCTGACAGCTTGAAGAGGTCTAGGTTTGGGGACCGTCCAAATGTGGGAAGGGCAGAAGTGGGTACAGCCAAAGATGATTTTTCTGGCTCTGAGAGTAGGAGACAAGAAGAATGATGAAAAAGGCAAATTTGGAGAGGGAACTGGTCATGAAGAGGTGAAGGTCATAAATGGGTCAACTTACAGGTGAGGCAAAACCTCTAGATCCAGGAATCCTGTATATATCATTTATTAAGTTTAAAATTTCCTTTAAATTAAAAAAATTGTAGATATACATAAAACTTACCATTGTAAACCATCTTTAAGTTCAGTGGCATTAAGAGAACATTCATATTGTGCAACCATCACCAATGTCCATCTACTGAACTTTTACATCATCCCAAACTGAGACTCTGTACCACCATGAAACATCAACTCTCAGTTCCCTCCTCCCTCCAGCCCCAGCAATTACCACTCTAGTTTTTGTCTATGAATTTGACTACTCTAGGTCCCTCATATAAGTGGACTCACAATATTTGTCCTTTTGTGATTGATTATATCACTCAGCATATGTCATCAAAGTTCATCCGTGTTGTAGCAAATGTCAGAATTTCACTCTTTTTAAAAGCTGAATATTCCATTGTATGTCCACACTGTGTTTCGTTTATCATTCATCCACTCATGGACACTTGGATTGTTTCTGCCTTTTGGCTACTGTGAGTAATATTGCTATGAACTTTAGTGTATAAACACATCTACAAGTCCCAGGTTTCAATTCTTTTTTTTTTTTTTTCCTTTCAGACAGAGTCTCACTCTGTTCACCAGGCTAGAGTGCTGTGGCATCAGCCTAGCTCACAGAAACCTCAAACTCCTGGGCTCAAGCAGTCCTCCTGCCTCAGTCTCCTGAGTAGCTGGGACTACAGGCATGTGCCACCATGCCCGGCTAATTTTTTTCTATATATTTTTAGTTGGCCAATTAAGTTCTTTCTATTTTTAGTAGAAACCGGGTCTCCCTCTTGGTCAGGCTGGTCTTGAACACCTGAGCTCAAACCATCCTCCCACCTTGGCCTCCCAGAGGGCTAGGATGACAGGTGTGAGCCACCATGCCGGGCCTTCAATTCTTTTTTGAGTACAGACCCAGAAGTTAATCCAGCTCTAGAACCTTTTAAAATAGAAAAATGGGGCGACATTTTTTCCCCTAAGGAGGCAGCTGGGCCGCTCCCCCTACCCTGCTTGCACTCTCCCATCACATACAGGAACGAAAGCACACATTTAGATAGACAGTGTCAAGGAGAATCTCCAAACGTAAGGGCAGGACACAGTAACTTTTGTAAGAGATGACAGTTTCATCCACTGCACTCCCGGGTGAACAAGTGGGGGGGGGCAGGGCTGGGAGCTGAAAGAACGTTTTTCTGAGCTGGGGTGTCACCGGCCCAACTCTACCCAGCCTAGAGTCCCTTAAGGCCCTTGGGGATTGTTTGGCATCCGGGTGGCGGCCGATTCGGACAGCAGCCGCTAGTGGGCTCAGCTCGCGCTGAGCGCGGCTGTTTGTCCCGCCGCCTCCCATCGGCCGGGACCGTTGTCGCCCTTCGCCGCGCACCGGGAGCGCCAGGAACCCCAGGCTCGCGGCCCGAGGACGCGCTCGGAGCGGCGCCGCCTGCGCGCGATCGTCGCAGCGCCGGGCCAGGCCGAGTGGCGGCCGCGCGCCAGCCCGAATGTGGCGGGGCGGGCGTGGCGGTCCTCGCCGAGGTTCGGACGAAAACCTAGAAAATGGCCCGGGGGCATGCGCCACCGCGGCCGTTAGGAGGCGCAAAACCGACGCCTGGGAGCCCGGAGCCTGCGAGCATGGAGCGGGGCGCTCGGCGGGGCTCCAGGCGCCAAGGCCGGACCCTGAGGGCGCTCGAGCCGGGCGCGCCTGCGGGCAAGCCGAGGCGCAGGTGTGGGCCGGCAGGTGCGGCCGCGGGCTTCGGGGCGGGGCCCGGGGTTAAATACAGCTGCTGCACCGGCACGGCTGTCTACGCGGCGCTTCGCTTTTCCCGCTTCGACCTGCTTCCTACTCGCAGGTGATGTGCGCTACGGCTCGGGCTTGTGTAGATGGACACGTTGGTTCCAGTGAGCAGCATTTCTTAATGCGAGCTAGACGTTAGGTGATGGACGTGTTGCCTAGATTTCAGACTCAATTGTAGTTGATAGAGACAAGTGTGCATTAGGGAAACTAAATTTAAATTCAAGTCTGTGAGTGAATTCAATGTGTTGGAGCATCTTTAGCTTAGCAAGTATTTTGCTTTTTTTTTTTTTTCTTATGTTTTCGTGACAGTCTGGGTCTGTCGCCCGGGCTAAGAGTGCTGTGGCGTCAGCGTAGCTCACAGAAACCTCAAACTCCTGGGCTGAACCGATTCTCCTGATTCAGCCTCCCAAGTAGCTGGGACCACAGGCACGCGCCACCACACCTGGCTAATTTTTCTATTTTTAGTAGAGACAGGGTCTCCCTCTTGCTCAGGCTGGTCTGAAACTCCTGAGCTCCGGCAATTCTCCCGCCTTGGCCTTCCGGAGTGCTAGGATTACAGGCGTGAGCCACTGTGCCTGGCCAGTTTATCAAGTATTAAGGACAATTTTCCCCTGGCAATTTTATTTTGATGATGTGTGAAAGTTACTGAAAGCAATTTGAATGAGGTTGAGGGTCTTAGCAATTTAATAAGCAGAACCCCTTATATTGTTCGATTTGTATCAACTTGAACTAATAGTGAAATGAAAGGATGGGTGTTACTGTACTTAGCTGAGTTTGACATACTGAAAAGTTATGCTTTCTGAGCCTGTTTACTAATGTCTGGATAAATTCTGTGAGTTAAATGATAACATTTTGTAAAGGGAAGGGAGAAAGCCTGTTCTTTCTCTTCCCTACTGAACTAGGAAGCTAATTCCTCCAGGTGTCTCTCTTCTTTACAAAACAGATGTTTTATATTTACAGACTGGTCGCTACTGATTTCAAATAGAGCTTGGAGGATAAATCTGCAAATTTCTTTCAACCAAACTTGGCAACAAAATGGAAGAAAAAAAAACACAGGTAATGGCATTCATTTCAACTTCTTAGGAGTCATCACATTTAGATGCTAGCATTTGCTGAGGTGTTGGTTGAGCTAATCAAGGATATACAGAAATAACCACATTTGGTGCATATAAAGAACAGTTTTATTATAATGACTTGTTAAAGTAGCAAAATCTACTTTAAAACTACTCCACTTAGTGTTTGTCCAATGTAAAAGTGCATATGGATCGCCAGGGGGGCTTTGTTAAACTGCATATTGAGTTTGAAGGTTTCAGGGTGAGACCCAAGATTTTGTTTCTGTGAAGTTTCCAGGTGAAGAGGGCACTGGGTTGTAAGCCACATGTGGAGTACCTAGGTGGTAGATTCTTCCTTTCCAGAAGGTACACGTGGCAATTGGGCACTTGAAACATAATGAAACTGAAACATTAAATTTTAACTTAATTTTTTTTTTTTGAGACAGAGTCTCGCTTGTTGCCCAGGCTAGAGTGAGTGCCGTGGCGTCAGCCTAGCTCACAGCAACCTCAAACTCCTGGGCTCAAGCAATCCTGCTCCAGCCTCCCAAGTACTGGATTAGCATGCCCACTATCGCCGCTAATTTTTCTAGTAATTAGTTGGCCAATTAATTCTTCTATTATATTAAAGATGGGGTCTCACCTTCTTAGGTGTTTGAACTCCTACTCAAACGATCCACCTGCCTCAGCCTCCAAGACTAAGATACAAGCATGACCCACCCGTGCCGCTTTACATTTATAGTAGAACGGCTCTCATTCTCTCAGGCTGGTTTTGAACTCCCAACCTCAAGCAATCCGCCCGCCTCTGCCGTCCAGAACGCTTAGATTACAAGCCTGACCAGCCCGCCTTTTCTATGGCTTTATAAATGGGTATTGTTCAGTTACCTTAGATTAAATTTCAATGAATACCTTTAAAAGTGGTAAAAAATTTTTTCAACTGTCATATTATAATACATAGAAATATAACTTAACAACGTCTTACTAGACATTCGAGAATAAATTTTAGATGTAATAAAAATGATGACAAAAAGGGAAAAAGCTACAAAGAATATTTTCAAAAAACACATCTTGGATCTTAAATTTACGATTAGATAAAAAAGACTTATCAATAACAACACTTTTATCTAAATATCAGAAGGACACTTATCAGGACAAACTCAATTAAAAAGGGCAAAGGACTAAGAGCCACCACTAAGAAGAAAGATGCAAAAAGCATAAGAAAGTTCGGGCAGGTGGTAGATCAGAGGCCTGGGATGGCCAACTCCGTAGCAGAGAGCAGGAGAAGCTTGAAGGCCAAGTTTTGTTTTCTTGAGATAGGCATCTGCTCTGCAACCCCTGGTAGAGTTCAGTGTCATCATACTCACTGCACCTCAATTCCTGGCTCAAGTGATTTTGCCTCAAGCCTTCCATAAAGCGGACTACAGCGTAGCCATTATGCCCAACAATTTCTGTTTTTAGTGAGAAATTGGTCTGGCTCTTGCTCAGGCTGATTCGAATCCTGAGCCATCAATCCTCCTCAGCCCTCCAGAAGGCTAGATTACAGGCACGAGCCAACCGGCCTGGCAAGGCAGGAGTTTGACTCTAGATGGGCAATATACACGCCATCTCACAAAAATTAAAACAGTGCTGTAGTGCATGCCCATCAGTCTTAGCTACTCAGGAGTTGGGCGGACTTGACCCAGATTGAGCCCTGCAGGAGCTAGACGCACCACGCACCTAGCCCGGTACAGAGAGAGCCTGTCCTCGTTAAAATAAAGAAATATGTTTCAAAAGCTGAGTGGTACACTTAAGGCCCCGCCGGGGAGCTGACGAATGGACCAATGCTGGATTTTATGTGCCAGCCAACTAATAGCTATTCAACAATAGCAAAAATGCAATTGAAATTGAAAAGTTGGGGGAGGGTGGTAAGATGAATGGAAATCCTATTTAGTAGTCCAGCTACTGGAAGAGAGCAGAATGACCCTTGCCCAGGATTCTTAAGTAGCCCGGAAACATAGCAAGACTCATCTTTTGTTTTTAAGACAGTCTAACTTTGTTGCCAGGCTAGAGCTGAGTCCATGGCGTCACTCTGCTCACAGCAACCTCAAACTCCTGCTCAACAATCCTACTGCCCAGCCTCCTGATACTGGACTACTTCTGCACCACCATGCCCAGCAATTTTGATATATATTTTTATTGCAATATCTTTCTATTGTAGTAGAGACGGTCTTGCTCAGCTGTTAACTCCTGAACCTCGAGCATGTCTCCCGCCTGGCTCCCAGAATGCCAAATTACAGCATGAGCCCCATGGCCCAGCCAAGATCATCTTTAAAAAATATTGAAGCTGGGTGCGTATGGTGGCTCAATACCTGTATCCTATAACTCTGGAGGCCCAGGCGAGCGATTGGGTTAGCCAGGAGTTCATACCAAGTATGAGCAGCAGGAGAACCTGCTCTACTAAATAGAGAATTAGCCGTTGTGTGGCAATACCTGTTAACCTAGCACTCTGGAAGCCGAGGCAGGAAGGATCCTTGCCAAGGAGTTCAAAACAAGCCTACAAATCAAGAACGCGCCCGTCTCCTACCAAAAATAGAAAATAGCTGAAATGGGGCACATGCCTGTAGTAACCAGCAACCAGAGGCCGAGCAGGAGGATGCTGAGGCCAGATTTGAGGTTCTGTGAGCTAGCTGACACCTACGCACCTTCTAGCCTGGCAACAAGTTGAGAATCTGTCTCAAAAAAAAAAAATAACAACGAAAACAAAGCTATAAGGAGCCTTTAATCAGAGAAACCAGAACATTATTATTGTCAAATGAGACCTCTGCAGGTTGCTTGCATAGCCTTAGGCCTTATGGGTTAACAAAGAAACTCCAAGAAGGAGGGGCATGATAAGGTATGTCTTGACTCCCTCCTTTCAATGGCTAGGCAATTAGTTTAAGAATCCCCTTGCCAAAGGGGTCCATTCAGTCAGTCCAGTAGGTAGGGACCTTAAAGATTTTAGTTCACAAGCTCATGGTATTTTTTTTTCTATTTTAACAGAGCCGATAGTCCAGACTGAGACAGAAGACTCATGTGTGCAAAGTATTTAGCATCTGGGCATGGTAAAGCCAAAAAGGTCACCACGGAAGATAAAGGAAGAATCTGGTTTAAAGGGTTTTTCTGAGATAAATAAGTCTTTCAACACTGGAGGGATAAGGAAAGTAAGTTCCTCTTGCATCATTCCCTTCATCTCCTATGTGGGCGCAAAGTATTGCTAATACACTGCTAGGAAGCAGAGAGAGTGGGTTTTTTTTTTTTCAAATAGAGTTGAATGAATTGGAGGTACCTTAACTAACAATGTTGCTGTACCCTGGGTAAGTGCTGGTATAACATACCACTCCAACCTCACAGGCTCCTGGACTTTTCAAGATACCTGCCTCGCCTTCCGATAGCTGACATTCTATAAGATAGGACTTGCTCTACTCAAGCTGTCTGAAGCCTGAGCTCACATCCTCCCACCTCGCCTCCTAGAGGCTACGGATTACAGGTCTGAGCCACCTGACTGGCCTTCAAATTTTTTTGACATTGAAAGACATGCAGTCATCTCCCTTGCTTTATTTCAAGCTTGATATATGTTTAACACCTGATCACTTTTTCGTAACAAAAATGATAGTTAATTGTTAGCTCCAATTTTCTGAGACTATCATGACTGAATATCGGCCCCCTCAAAGCACCCAAAATATCGCTATACTCAAATAGCTAAAGGAATCTGTTGTTGGGGACAAGGGTGTACCTGGAACCAACTACTGGAAGTCTGAGGTATGCGATTGCTAGCCTATTGAGTTCAAGCTAATTGAACTATGATTGCTCCACTTGCACTCCAAACAGGTGCTTAGAGTGAGAGATGCCAGCGGGAAAAAAAAAAAAAAAAGGGATCCGTTTTATTTTTTGGAAAGGAGCTCCTTTCCTTAGCAGAAAAGCCATGTAACCGAGCAACAATAACCAAAGCCGCTGGCATGTCAATGCCCAGACATCATGTTAAAACCTAAATACAGCAACAAAAGGGCATGAAACGGATTGTGAAAAGGCCAGGAACATGTATGTATTAGGTTTTCCTTCGATATTCCCTGAGAGCTCCAGACCCCCAGGAACCCCAAATTCTGTTGCTTAAGTCTTAAGTAAAAGTATAATATTGCAAAACTTACTGCATATCCTTTATCCCCGTTATAGTTCCGTCATTATAATGTCAACACAATGGTAGAGCATATAAGTTGCAGACTGTATTATTTACCTTCCATCATTTTATTGGATGTATTTTTCCCACATATTGACCACTGTGGTTGAGTCCCAAGAGCCAGAGCTGGAGATTATGGAAGGCCAACTGACTGTATTAATTATCAACTTTCCTTAGTAAAAGTTAAGAAGAAAGTAGAAGTAAAAAGAGCACAGGAGATGCGAGTCAGATAGCTGACACTTTACTCTCTAGAGAAACTGTGAAGCTGTTTGAGATATTTTCCACCAAGGAGCAATACCAGTTCCAGCTCCACAGACATATGGAGTATTATCTTTCGTCAGCTGGCTGCTATGAATTTATAACTCGATACATTAAGCGCAAGTTTCTTATCTGTAAGATGAATCAGCACTGGCATGACTATAGTTGGAGCGTCAGAAAGAAATTATGAGGATTCAGCTGAGTATTATCAGCCAGATAAGGCATTGAAATGTGACAGCAGTCATGTCTACCCTCCTGGAGCTACTTGCCTGCCATGGACTCAGACTGGTTCACCACTATTAGATACACTGGACAATTACCATACCCTCCTAGCAATCAATGATAAATCACTCATGATTATTCCTGTAAATCAAGAATTCCGACAAACAACTACCATGGTCCCAGAAAAAAAGACCACCCTAAATAAAGCCTTACAGGATGTTCAAACATTGCACAATACAAAGGTCTACCCAAAAAAAAGACTAGTGATGGCGTTGCTATGCCGCATATCTGACAGCACCCATGCATTTCGCTCGATTTCGGTTAAGAGCCCTTCT